GTGGTTTGCTTACACACTTGAGTTTGCGTCTCTCCTTGGCCTCCTCGTCCGCCTGGATCTTCTTGATCTCACGCAGCAGCTTACTGCATCAGACAACACAAGCAGAGAGACAGACCATGAAATCGCCTTCCGTTGGCCCCCTTCGTCCCCTCTATGTCTGCCTCTCCTTCTGCAGACACCCACCTGAGTTCTGTGTCGTTGGGTGCGATGTCTAGTGCCCTGATGACGTCCCTCTTGGCCTCACCGAAGTCCTTGCACTCCAGATGGGCCCGCGCCCGGCGGTAGAGGGCCTTGACCAGGTGGGGGTCCACGGCCAGCACCTCCGTGCACCGGCGGATCGTCATGGCGTAGTTCTTCAACTCCAAATAACACGCCGCCTGCACTCATAAATCGACACAACAGACACACACACGGTGTGGCGTGTTGGGCGTTCGTGTGCCTGCCCTGCCCACGGGCATACCTCATTGAGTTTGCATTTGGTAGCCAGGCGGTCCCTCTCCTGGCGGGGCTGGGCGCCACAAAGGCGAGGAGCCGGGCGGCCTTCGTGTAGTGTCGCAGGGCGTCCTCACACTGCCGCGACTGGAAGGACGTGTTGCCCTGGTGCTTGCATGTCTCAGCCCTGTTGCCATCACACCAACACACAATAGATAGGTGTGGGTGTTTGCTCTCTGGTCCTGGTCACGCACTCATCGAGTCGCTGTTTGGCCTCGTCTGTGCTGACGATGGCCGGCGCTGCCTCGCCCTCTCCGTCGCCATCCTCTGCGCACCACCACACACACGCCGATTCATCCGACCGACAGACCGAGGTGGAGGCGGCAGCTTGCACACTCACCCTCAATGGATTCCTCCTGCTGGTTGACCACCATATCTGCGATGGTGCTGCCCAGCGGGCCGCCCACCAGAGGGGCGGTGGCGGGCCGGCGGTCCTTGAAGGCATCCGATGCATTACCCACTGGCGGCTCGTTGGTGAGGGCAGAAACGAACACTGCATCCAGCGACACAGCACACGTCGTCAAAGGACGGCTCCATCACCAAAGGATCTCTTATCCGCTCCCTTACCCGTGTTCGTGTTGGCGCTGGTGCTGAGAATGATCGATGCGACGAATGGGCCATCGAACGCCGTCGGCAACAGAATTCGATACTCTACAGGGGGATCCCTATCGTCACCCCTGCCCGCCACGACGGCGGTGCATCGGTCGGGGGGCTGGTGGGGCGAGTTGTTCATGAGGCCGTCCAGCACACCGCCGTGAGCATGCCTGAGGAGACCAACACATAACAGAGGGAAGAGGCCGTCATGGATAGTTGTGTGTCTGAGTGTCGTGTGTGTCCTGCTTACCGGTTCACGGCAACCCATGGTGTCCACCCCAAATTGGCCGCTGAAGGGACCATGATGATCCTCATGATGAAGGCCGACGTCGAGGCCTGAGTGAGCACCTCACCGCCGGTCGTCCAGCTGTCCCCCTGCGGGTGGATTGTGGATCTGACGGGCGGGTTGTCGTTGATGGTGTGTGTGCGGTATGGGTGGGCGGGGGGGAGGGGGGGGTTGATGTCCAGCTCGAAGCCCGGCTCGTCCTTGATGGCACGGACACCGCCGCTCGGCTGGTCGAACAGCTCAAAACGGCCCAACTGGCCGCCGAAGTTGACGTGCCGGCCGACCATCTTCCACAGCGCAATCACACGCGCATCGGCCAAATACGCCTCCACACACACCACTGACAGACAGACAGACAGATGAGTGCCACCCGCCCCGCCCCGCGCTCATCTGCCCACCTGTTTGCTATCGTGACGCTCCAGGTCGGCCACAGCCAGTGTGATGGGCAGCTGACAGAAGCCGTGCTGCCTCGCCACCTTCAGCGCATTGGCCACCTCGGTCCACTGCTGTGTGTCCACCAGCCAGATGGCCTTCAACACGAGCTTGGTCTCCAGCTGCAAATCGAATGCGATGGTGCCGTCGAGCTGTTTGGCCGCCAGGCAGCGCCCCGGCCGATTACGGAGGACGGCAGCCGAGAAGTCTATCTGCGATAGGAAGGCGGCCGTGCATCTGAGTATGCCGATGACCTCGAGTGTGTGGATGGCATCCCGCCCCAGGCTGTGGATGAAATCGATGGCCTCGTTCCCTCTGGCCGGCGGGACGGCCTGCCGGCTGCTGGGTACCGTCAAGTCATTCCCCATGGGCAATCCCCGAGGCGCGTAAACTCGCATCTGAGTTTACACATAAGGATCGGATTCTTCTAGCTCTTTTCGGCTGATGATGGGTTATTCTGACGTGGTTGAGGCGTGTCTAAGCAAGTGGGGCAGCTGCTGCATCAACACGTTCATCAGCCTCACCGTCCATCGCACCGCGCCGCCCTTGACGTCCCAAGACGACTCGTGCCTCAAGACCTCTTCCCTGGCCGGCCTCTGCTGCACAACAGACGCCCTCCTCTTCAGAGTCAAACCCATCGCCGCCACAGATCGGCTCAATTGCAAAAATGGCGACTGCACCGACCCGCCCGAAAGACCGAAGCAGCCGCGGGCCTCTTTCCATCGCAAGATGAAGAGCAAACACCACAACAAGGCCGCGGCCAGGAGGACATCATTCATCACGGCTTCACACATGCTCGATGACAACAACCACAAGCAGGAGCAGCAGCAGCAGACGCCGGCGGCCAGCAACACGGCCGCATCCGCACTCACGCCCTCTCCATCGCCCCACACGCCCCGTTCGCTCAAGTCGTCGCCTCAGCCGTTCGCCCCCTCCCTCCTCTCCTTCTGCTCGCCGCGCTCCCCGCCGTGCAGCACACCCAACAACACACCTGCAGCCGGCATCTCCACCAAGAGGCTCCTGTCGGCGTCGGGCGGCGGGCGGTTCGGTGCGGGCGATGGTCAGGGGGATGGGAGCGACTCGGACGGAGGCAGTGATGACAGCATTGTGGCGCCAACGCCCATACCCAGTTCGGTGCCTCAGCTCGTGTCGAGCCGGCCGACGGTGGGCAGGGACAAGGGCGTCATCAGCCGCGGGCGGTTCGTGGTGGTGGAGGGCAGTGAGCATCGCATCTGTGGGCGGGGGGGCGGCAGCACGGGGGTGCGACAGGTGAGAATACCCATGACATAGACACACACATTTTCTTCATATGTATGTGTGTCTTGTGTTGTTTATGTGTGTGTGTGGAAGGCGTTTGAGGATTGCGAGCGTGACTGTGAGGAGGAGGCCCTGTCCGTGTGGCAGACCCACCAGCACAAAGGCAACAACATCCAAGGCAACTCAGGTGCCCTCAGGACGATGGCAAGGCGATGAATGTGTTCGTGTCTCGTCTATAATCTCTGTCAGGTTCTGTCGTCCCGTCTTCCTTTGGGTTTGGCT